AAAGAAAGAAAGAAAGAAAGAAAGAAAGAAAGAAAGAAAGAAAGAAAGAAAGAAAGAAAGAAACCTTTTCACTGGTCAACAAGTGATTTAATGAATATTGCAGACATTTTAAAGAAGATATTCTCTTCTCCACCCTATCTGGTTAGCCTCCAAGATACTGCATATACTTCAACTTTATCTCCTACACATGTATGTGAGCAAGCACATCAATAACAATTCTAGCACAAAGTTGTCAAATATTCACCTTTATTAATTTCTTTAAAAGATTAAAATTTTACTCAGTCCATCATTCTTGCAAACAGCTTAAACTTTTATGCAATTTTTCTCAGGTTGTTTCAGAAAATGAATTATCCCACCCTGTTCTATTCTAATTGTCTGCAGTTAAGTGAAGTTGATAAGAGGTTTTGCCTTCTAAACAGATTAGTTTTGAAGATTCAAAGGGAAAATCTCTATGTGTGCAATTTGTTCACTGGCTGCCAGTAACTGCCAATGTTTTTCATTTCATCATAATTTGTGTCTGCAAGGAAATGTCTGATAAGTTTGTCAAGAAAAGTCAAACTATAAATCAATATAAAGCTTCATTTTAGAGATGCTCTTGAAGAAAACAAGGCACAACACCCCAGTTTTCTCTCTTCTACATACATAATAGGAAAGCAAGAATATGAACTATTGGTGGAGGGAGGTCTACAACCTTAAATGTGTCTCTGCACTTATACAGAAGAGTAGTGGTGTGCAGTGCCTGGATCCAGCACGGGCCTCCTTTTTCTGTTTTTTACTGCTCCTTAAAGAACTCCTGGCCTCTCCTTGCCTATGTGGGAATGTCGGTGCTTGGAAAAATACAGATTTGAGTTGCTGAGTTACTAAAAGAAAAGTAAAATAGTTGTAGCCTTTGCCACCTGTTTATCCCAAGCACAGTTTTATTTTTCCTGATTCCAATGGAGTCTTGGCATAAGCCCAAGAAGAGGTACAACTTTTTTAAAGAGTAGCCCACAGGTAGAGAGGTGTCTATCTCTAATTTTAAAAAAAATCAATTTTAGGCATGAGTTCCCTGTAACTTAATCATAAAAACAATCCTAAATCATACTGCATACTCAATAATGCATACTTCAGGAAGAAATATAGGAGGGCCAAGCATTTTTGCATTAATTCACTCACAAAATTTATACATCCCAAAACTGAAACTTAAAGAACATGTCATTTTGCTTGGCAGAAAAAAAAAAAAAGACGTAATTGCAAATTACTTACTTGCAATGTCCCTGAGCGATTGCTGAACACAAGGGGGTAAATCCGTTTTTATCAATAAAGTCAACTTGTGCTTCTGAAGTCAGCAGCAATCTTACACAATCTATGAGTTGAAATATATGGAGGGAGAAAACGGGAAGAGGAAGAATAAATTACAATTAAATTTAATGCCAGTTTCAAAAGTCTTTGCTTTTTAAAATTTCCTGCAGTGTAAACTCTTCAGAAGTTATGAGAAGTTTAATAGACTAACTCCTAAGTTGGTGGGATATGTCCCGCTCTGAGTGACATTTGGTACTGGGCAGCTACTAAATTCATGAAATAAATAAATATATATGTTGTATTTTATAGCAGCCTTAATTAACTATAAGCACTGACATAAGAATGGAGACATCAGCAAAATGGATTGGAGGTTTCCTGACAATTAAATTTTCTTCCACAAGATGTAATAGGGCCCTTTAGCTTAGTACATTAAGCAAACACATACACAAAAGTATACATCTGATTACTAGTTATAATGGCTGTCTTAGAGCGCCAAGATACAGAGTTCTTGCTGATTACTACGTTTTGGCCTTGTTTAAGATTTTCCCAGAAAATTGGCCTCTGCAGGAAATAAGATATTGGATTAGATAGATTGTTCATTTGCTCCCAACAAATCATCACGTTTGTTGTGAGTTTGTTCCTTCTTAGTCATTGTGGGTCTACAAAATCATTAAATTACTTTCTAAGTCTTCTTTATTCGGTGCCGATGAAGAGTTCTCAGCGGTCTGAATCAGAAACTAGAAACATTTTGAAACAAATCTCTGTATGTGCAACATCCAATGCCAAGTGCAAAAAAAGAATTGGTGTTACAAAATCCTGATGCTAAACAGCAGGAGCTGTTCATGGTACCAAGAAGAGCAGCTACACAGCCTATTTAATGGTTGTACAAGATTTTATCATGTCTTTTGAGCAGGACCACACAGAATAATTCTTATGGGGATTTAACACACTTTTTTTTTTTTTTACAAATACACAGTAAAATTTCATCGTTGATAACCAGTGATTTCTCACCAATTTCAACCATGTAATTCTGACGGCTTTGAGAACTGCCAAAACCACTCTGGGGGGCATATGTTGCTTATGGCCTATAGGTCGCCTACTCCTAATCTTTGGAACTGCAATATCAATTGTTAATTTGACAACAGCATTTAGGTAATGGCGCAATATAATAAAATCTCTGAGAAATTTCACACCTGTATGTCCATTCCTAGCAGCAGAATACAAGGCAGAACAACCATCTTCACAGGAATCGTTAACGTTCAGACCTTCATTAAGCAGCACTGACAATAAAGTGACATTTCCCTGGGCAGCAGCTTGGTGAAGAAGGGTGGGCCTGCCACCCAGGGGAACAGGACCACCACTCATTAATAAAGGGGTTAGGGAGGAAGACCAGCCTGTGAGTTAAAAGCAACATCCGTTAGAGAGAACACACGAGAAGTTAATGCTACGCACTTTGCAAGTTACACACAATGCTCAACCAAATGAAAACTCTGACATTTTGGCTTTGTAAAAACTGAGACTAGTTCTGTGTTATTTGAAATCCTGAATCCCAAGAAAATTAAAGTCACACTTAGCTCTAAAAGGTTATATTCTTTGTTATTTAAAACGGAAAAATATAGTTATCCATGAGCACAAGGAAACTTAATTGAATAGCAAATCTCTCCAACTTTAAAGTTAGCTAAATTTAGCAGAAAAACTGTGAGATATTTCACACAGAATTATGCCTCTTCTTAAAAAAATCTGAAATACCATGTCTTACAAATAACATTGAAAGAAATTTGCATTTCAGAAGAAACAATTGAGAGCCCTGTAATTGATGCATACTTGTTTTCCTGGTGATCAAATCCTTTTGCAGGTGTCATTTTTAATGGCACTGCTGCATTTTTGTGGTGTTTTTAAAAATAAAGCTACAGTGTACTATTAGTAAATGTCATAAAACATTACTTGGCAAAGGTCCACATCATCCTTTAAGAAAGGCAACTGACAGAGCAAAACTTTAGAAAATCAAAAAGGTTATCTTGGTTAGACATTCCAGGTATCAGAGGTTAACAGCTTTAGAGGACAGCTTATTAAGGACATGAAGTTTGCTGTATATGGTGCGAAAAACTTTGTGAACTCTTCTTTGATCAAAAGGCTGCAAAAGGAAATAGAGAAGAGGATTGAAAATAAAGAAATTTGCAACTATGAACTGCTCACTAAAAATGAGTAAGCACAAAGGAATGCCTCTTCCTTTTTGAAGAATATTCATTACAAATAAACTATTCCTATCCAATTCCCAAGAAGTCATTAATTTCTTTAAGTAAAGGATCATGTATGGCCACTTTCCATAACTGGATGTCTTCCCAGTATATTCAACTTCAATGACCATAATTTCTTGCAAACATCTGGAGGGTACCATGATGGAAAAGTAGGATTCAGAGTAACGTTTGCATTGCAATTTGGCAGCTATGCTCTCAAATATCAATGTAGAAAACCATTTAATATCATATCCATATTACAATTCATTATTAATGAATTTCCCAAGTAGAGCTTTTTCAATTTAGACTTAGGCTTCCATTCTATTATGAAATATTAGTAAATCTCATTAAAGATGGCGTGTTTGCAATGGCAATAATCAGATTTGGCTAAAACAGAGAAAGAAGATTGGGCCTGAAAGTAATTTCAAATAGATAGATACAAAATGCACATAAAGAAAGTAGTTATAGTAGTATTACAGCCCAATTAGACTCTTGATCGGGGTAGGGAATTATGGCCCTTCTGTGACCTGTGGACGTGAACTCCCAGAATTCCTGATCCAGCCATAATTCTGGAAGTTGAAGTCCACAAGTCATATAGGGGCCATAGTTCCCCACTTTGGTTCTGGATAATGGAGTTATAGTCGGTCCCTTTGGTCTTGGATAATATTTAATGGGCCAAAAGGAAGGCAATGAAAACTTAAACAGAGAGCAAGGCACATTGATGGGTCAAAAAAAATAAAAGGTAAATAAAGAAGGAGGAAGTAAAGAAAAGGCAGGAAATGAGCAAGAAGGCCATCGGCACCCTGGAGTTTACCTTGGAACCGATCTTTTGCTACGCTGACAGCAATGCTTTCTTATTTTCTCCGTAAATATTACTTTTTTGTCTCTAATTAATGTATGCCATTCTAGAAAGCTATTCTATAAAAAAAAAAAAAAGAAAGAAAATAATTCTATTCCGAAGCCAAGATTCCAACAGAGACCTCAAGGTCAGGCTAGTGACTGATGCTGGGGGAAGAAGGAGACCAACTTAAGACTTCTTAGTAGCGCAGGGTAGTTAGCTTCTTGGTTGCAGCATCCATGGCAAGCCACAAATGACTCCTTGACCCAAGGGCTAGTTCTTCTGAGCCTAAACATGTTGTGTTTTGAAGCACTGAGTTCCTGCAGAGCTGTCCCTCACAGAAAGTTTGGTGTTTCACCGAGGAAAGGAAACAATACAGAACCGTTTCATGTGAATTTCACAAGATTACTTTTTATCTACGGAACTACAAGCAATTGCTGAAAATTTTTATCACATTTTTAAGAAACAAAACAAAATCATTAACCATAATTGAAAACAATAAGAAACAAGAATATAGGCAAAACAATCAGGTGAAAAACTTTTGTAATTTAAACCATGATGTTTCCCTTGATAGATTGCTAATTAGAACTTTGATGAATATGTCTCAATTTTTCATTGTTCAGTTTGATTGATTGGGGCCACTTTTGTGGAGAGGATCAGCTATTTTCTTCATGTTAAATACAAAATTAGAATTCATGCTTCACTCTTCAAAATACAAATAGAAACAATTATACAATAATTGTAACTTTTATCCTCTTCATCGAATTATTTTTGCACAACAGAGTCCTTGGGCTTAATATTTTCATCTCAAAACAACCCAGTTTGGTTCTGAAAATATGGTGGTGGACACTGACTTGACATATAATTTCATTTTTTTCTTAAAACAGAATAAAACAAGGAGGAGGAATTCTAGATAATATGATTATTGTGGAAGCAACCCATTCTTGCTATTATGATATTTTTAGCAATAAGTCAGAGCAGATGTATGATAAAAAGACCAGTCCACTTCACAAACTGCCACAGATTTAAAGACTTTATTTTTATGGACTGAGTTTAATGATGAATTTATTCCTAATTCCCTACAGTATTGAATGATGCTTTTTCTTTAAATATAAAAAAAGGAGAGAAAAGGGAAATAAACTTCCAGCATCAATATCTTATTTAGCACTATTGTGAACTACTGCAATCAAATGATAGCATGGGTTTGTAATAAAGGTAGTCCTCAACTTACAACTATTTGCTTAATGATGGTTCAAAGCTACAATGGCCTTAAAAGTGACTCATACTTATTACTACTGCACAGCTTCCATAATCACTTAAACACAATTTGAGTACTTGTTGGCTTGCATTTATGGCAGATTGTATCCTGCAGTCACATAAATGCAATTTGAGGCCTTTTTGTAATGATTTCCAGGAACAAAAAAAATGACAAACAGCACGCATTGGGGAAACTGGGTTCACTTAATGATCACTGTCAAAATTATCATAAAATTGGGTCTGACTGGGTTTATGACCACAACAACTTAGGACAAAAGTTCCAGTCCCAGTTGTCATCAGAAGTTGAGAGCTATCTGTAGTAACTGAACAGAAAACAATGTTGAGAGTAAAGCTCTGAAAAAAATTCCGTTTCAGGAACGCAGTTATTCATTAAAGATCAAATGAGTACTATGGGCTATGTGGTTATTATTTATACAGCATTTTTCTTCTTAGCAATGCTTATGTTTCATCTTCTTTATAAGCTCATTTGCAATTAACAGGATTCGAATATTGAATGCAGTGTCTATGAAAAATCCCTGAAACATTAAAGGTAGACTGCTACATGCAAAATATGGCACAAATATATATTGTAAAGGAAACGTGAATTCAGTGTAGGGACACATAAATGAAGCAGTGCCGTGACGGACCTAAGGAAGTCTTCTAAAAGAACACTAAGGAGTTAAAAATTAAGCAATAATCGTTGCACTGCATATTAATTAAGCATAATGTTCAATCCATGATAATTCAAAGACCTTATAAACAAGCAGGAGCTTGGAATACACTGAGGGAGTTAAGTAATAAAATTAGGAAACGCAAATAAGCTTTGTGGTTTTGTATGCAAAAGTTAGTAAACATAAAACACCTGGAAAGGAGAATTGGGCATGCGGTGATGAAGAATGAAAGGAACAAGGAGGAAAAAACAGCTTCTGGCATCAGCTTCAGTTTGTGGAGATGGTTAATAAAGAATTCATTACCAAACTTTCCTGTAATTATTTATATTAGAAACAAACCACATGGAAACATGTAGGTTGATTGAAAGGATGTTTTTTTTAAAAAAAAAAGAGGAAGAAAAAAGAATATATAAGCTCGGGCATGGGAAATTCAATTGATCAGAGCATTATACAATTTCTCTTTCTTGATTATAAGCCTAACATCTATTGGCTTTAAGAAATGTTGTGCTAATCTTCAAAACACCTTTCATAAAGAATTATAGGCAATAAATTCTAAAGGTGATAGTCTGTTCATAAAGATATAATGAGCTATAAATTCCCTCCCCCTCATTTTTTTTCTAGATAACTAATAGCTTTGATAAAGACCAGAGGAGAAAGCAATTTATTTATTCTAGATCAGTGAAACAAAGCCTCCAATAGCTTCATATACTATTTTTGGGGGTGTAGCAGAATGTGACTGGACACACTCAGCATAAGGAGCAAATGTGGTCCTATGCCAGTTTTGCTTTCTTTAAGTGGTGTCATGAGAATACTCAATGCACGCAAAAACAGAGTACCCTTCCTACGCTCGTGAAGTTGGACGAAATTCACACGACAATGCAAGTGAAAGAAAGAATCAGAATGCCTTAAACCATGTGGAATTGCAATCATCACATGAAAGTAAATACAGTATTATGCAACATGGGTATTTCATACCCCCTGAGGCCTGGTTAATATATGAACCATTTGGTTATTAATTGTTGAGTAGGAATTTGAGAAGTACACTGTCCTGGCTTTATCAAAAGAAAACAAACCCTTAACTATATTTAAGTCTGCTTTTACTATTGAAAGTTGAGAAGCAATTATTCAACACATGTTTGACTTCTTAAACTACTCAACATTACATATGGCAAAACATTAAACTTAAACATAACCACAGTAAGTTCAACTATGGTTATGCGATTAAACTAATAGATCCTTTCAGAATGATTAATCTACCTTCAGTTAAAGATCACTTAATGAAGTGCAAAGACTTTACACTGAATTTAGAACAAAAAATATTTTAAAGCATTTTAGACTGAAAAAAAAACAATTATGCTTAATTGAAGTCAACTGTTACTTTTAATAAGTTTTAAACTAACCACAAACCTAGTTGGTAAGCTGGATTTTAGAAGCCTGAAATATCTGGCAGGCAAACAAAAACAGCATTTTCTCAGAACGTTGCACACTAAAAAAATTTGGAAGGGTAAAGATTTTGTGAATAAAATGTCAAAGACTAGTTAGGACGATAATTTATAGCCACTTTCATTTGCACTATAGAACTATATTGTTCTGCAGAGCTATTAATAAATTTCTATAACTACTGAATTATAGATATAAAGACTGCATAGATTCATAAAATAAACCAATTTCATTTATGACTTGTTCTAAAGGGACCCCAAATGTGATCATGCAGAAGAAAACTTTAACAAACTTACTTAATTCTATTTAGTTTATTGCTTTATCTTCCCAAAGAGCCTGTAAGAAGCCATATGCATAATACATTGAATTAGGCCATCCACTCAGTTTTGTATTAATTGCAGCACTTCTCCAGCCAGAAAGATGGAAATAGAAACCTTGTGCAAGGACAGAAATACCTAACTATGATCTGTCCTTACTGAAAATGTAAGCATGACATTAAATTATCTCTATAAATAGTTATAAAATTAAGTGCTTTCCTGCTTCATTCTCATTCAACCAAAAGCTGACTGTTATTTTTTTTAAAAAAGTCCTGCATTGCTTCTAAAATTCCACTACAAAAAAGTATGTAATTATAACTGAATATTTTCTTAATGTTCTATTCCTATATATATTAGATAAATATTAGAGCAACCCCACATATTTTAGGAATTCTTCTCTAGTCATATCAGATCCTAGGTGCTAAAGAGTCATGCTGTCCATCATTTGCTGAGCATCAGTACTTTCCAGTTTATAATTAGAATTTACTCTGCATAAAAGGAATGATTCTTGTTTGAACTGCTATACCAAAATTTTGAGGATCAGAGCTGGATGTGTAGCAGTGGTGGGATTCAAATTTTTTTACTACCAGTTCTATGGGTATGGCTTGGTGGGCGTGGCAGGGGAAGGATACTGTAAAATCTCCAGTCAGAGGTGGTATTTGCCGGTTCTCCGAACTACTCAAAATTTCCGCTACGGGTTCTCCAGAACTGGTCAGAACCTGCTGAATACCCACCTCTGATGTGTAGTAAGCATCAGGAAATTATTGATACGTATATCATGCTAAACTAAAGAATTATATTCTTAAAGTTGCAAAATTTCATTTGAAAAATTACATTACTTTAATATAGCACTGATAGAGAAAAGGAAAGTTTCCTTGGTAAGATAGTTTCTATTTTATTGTAATCTACAAGGACTCTTCTGGGCCCACACAAGAAGGATGCTAGCTATTGCAAAGTTGACTTTCAGCTCAAAGCTCTTGTCTTATGACCCTTCAGTGACTATTCAAAGCTATAATGGTGGTGTTGAAGCAAAAGTGACTTAGGACTGATCTTTTATGACTGTTTCAACATCCCCAGGGTCACGTGGGAGCTTTGCAACTGGCACATATGTATGATGGCTGCAGTGTCCCAGGTCATCTGTGATCTTAAGAGCCAGCTTCTGACTAGTAAAGTCAATGGAGAAGCCATGTGATTCACTTAATGACCAAGGCAATAAAGGTCATAAAATCAGGTGTGATTTACTTAATAATCGCCTCACTTAGCAACAGAATTTCTGATCACAATTGTGGATATAAATCAGGGACTACCTTATTATGAAACACAGGGCTGCATGATTCTATCAATGCCTTCCTCAAGGCAAGAGCTCCTGGCGACCAAGGAAATGCCCAGGTTTCACAGCATCTTTTAGAAACCTTTCAAGCCACTAAGGATATAGGCCGCAAAAGCAGCCTTTCCCTTAATGCAATTCTCCCGTGGGAACTACAATGACTACAGCATAATGATATAGAAATAAATTACTGAGAAGTAGAGAAAAAAACACCAGAAAACCAAGGAAGAGTTTTAATTTAAAAAAAAAAATATCCCCACTTTATCCCACTCAGGGGACATGCTCTGCCCTTCCTTTGCTGTTTTTAACAGTCGCTGAAGATTTATTGCAGAGAGCAGAGAACAGTTGACCTTTTCTCTTTGGCCAATTTGTTTTGTACTATTATTGTTATGGAATTTGTCATTTTTAAATGCTATAACTGACTAGGAGCAGTACTTCTTCCCCAAAAGGGCAGGTTATAAATGTTTCAATCATTCTGTTTGTTGGCAGCTTTCTTTTATCAGATAAAAGAGTTAACGAAGATGAAGCAAAGACTGGTGAGCAGCAAAAGCAATAAAGGATTTTCTGACCTTTCTCTTCATTTGGCCTATATATATTTTATATATATATAGCACTGAAAGTTCTTTTGAAAATGTACCCTCAATTCTTAGGGAAGAAAGAACTGCAAAGGGATGGATTAAACAAACAGACTTCCCCACCCAATACTACAATACCAAAGAACATGTGAAAAATACTTCTGATTTTAAGACAATGCCTCTAAGATATACCTTCAGCTGCTTTGAAAAACGAAAAAGGTTGCCTGCGCAAAATAATCAGAATTCATGGAAGCAAATGAATTTCCCATAGCCCTGAAACCTAGAAAGGCATTAAGTGGAAGTGCAATGTGACACAGGAAAAGGGAAAAAAAGAGGGAAGGAAGAAAAAGGTAAAAGAGAATCTTAGAGGAAAGGAATCTATGGAGAAATATATATATATATATATCTTGATATGACAATGTTAAAAAAAAGGAAGGAGTTTAGCGGGTACATCATCCTTTACCTGAGGCTGTTACCAGGAGGCTGTCTGAATCACATGGTCTACAGGATGAAGCACTAAGAGGGTTTATGGAAGAGCTACAGGCAATGGTGGTGGGAATGACAAAGGAGCTGTCGGAACATGCAGGTTGGCTCAGTCCAGGGGACGGGGAAGGCCAGGCACCCACCTGAGGCATGTCCATGGATGGAATGGCACAGCCTGCAGATGCCACAGATAAATCTATTGTTGGTTTTGGTGGCAGCTGGGGTGAGGATCTAGACATAACCTCTTCATTTATTACCCTGATTCCTTGAGGTGAGCAGGAAGAAGATGAAACCAGGAGTTTGCCTTCAGTTTTGGCACCTACGTGAGGGGAGCGACCACTATCCATCATGACTTTAAGCTGTGGGTGTGGCGGAGACGGAGTCTGTGAAAGACCTGGCTTTTTGGGAGGAATAGGAGGGGGGTTTCCTCTATCAATCCTCGAAGCGCTGGGAGCCTTTAAACTCATCCTGCTAATCGGGGGAGGGTAAGTGCCAACATCTATGGAATGTGACATTCCCGGACGTCCAGGTGCCACGCCCTGAGGACTGGTGAACCTTGAGAGGACTTGGGTGACTGTGTTCCGAGCCAGCTGCTTGGCGACTAGGTTGTCTCGACTTGTGGGCGAGGCGTCTCTTGATGTAGGGCTTGGAGTCGTGTTTCCATTTTGATCTGGATCGTTAGCGTTGGATTGAAATCGAAATCTGGCTGCCTGGACCCGTGGATTCAGGCCTTGGTGCCCAGGAGTGCTGACAGAGGGAGAATGTGGGGGAGGAACGGATGAGGCTTGCAAGTAGCTTTGGGATGCTATACTGGGAGCCGGAGAGGACGCAACATGATCTGGGAACGGGGAAGAGAGACTTGTTAAGTCAGGCGAAGCCGCTGGCCCATTCTCCTCAATTCGTATTTGACTATGAGACAGATTTGAAGTTACAGGGGAGAGAAGAAGGTCGCTGCAGGATGAATGCCTGTCAATGATGGGCTTCACAAATGCTGCATTGGAGGATACATTCACTTTTGCGTGCCCCGAATGCAAAGGGTGGATGGTTGAAGGCTTTACGGGTACTGTTAAAGGCAACTTTCTAACACTTTCATTTCCACTGTCTATTAATACTGCATCTGTCTGGCAGGAAAGTGTCCTCAAAATTGGTCCCTCTGTTCCAGTGGAGACAGAAGCGAAGCCCCTCTCTTTGTTCCTTCGTGGAAGAGAAAGGTGGGGTTTTGCATCGCTTTCCTTGCTGAGCTGCTCGATGGTTTTTCTCATTCTCTCCCTCTCTTCTTTGAGGTCACTTGTGTGAACTTCTTCTCTGCTGAGGCGGGCATGCAGCTGCTCTCTCTCTGTGTCGAACTCAGAAAGCTGCTTTTCCATTTGGGCTTCCATCTGGGTGCTCCGTTGTTTCTCCACAGCAAGAGATTCTTCCAGCTCCTTGGCTTTCTTTTTCTCTTCCTCAAATTTAGCCATGACTTCTTCCAACTTCTGGGCCTCTTCTACCAGTTTGCTGGATAGCTGTTTGCATTCTTTCACGAGCATCAATACGACGTGTTTATTCTTGCCACGCTCCTCCTCCAGTCGAGTACAGAGCTTCTTATGTTCCATTTCAAGAGCTTCTAGCTGGAATTTCTCCATTTCCAACTACAAAGAAATGCAGAAGTTAGCCTCATTAACACAGGGAATATTTTAAACATTTTAGTGCATATTCAGAAGCAGTAATGGTACAGGAATAATAGTCAAACTACTATGACAACCGCCAATGGTCAGTTTTCATATAAGTTTAAATGAGGGTGAAATATGTGGTTTTGCTGATTTTCCAGAAAGTTCAAAGGACAAAATGTATAAAAATGGTCTCAGCTGCAGGTGGGCTCCAGCATGAGTTCAAAAGCTGAGAAGAGTAAACCTCTCATCCCGGTGACCGAACTAGATTAAATCTTGCAATATTATCCTGGCACATGTGTATTTGACTTCATTCATGGTTCTTTGTATTTTCTTACTATTTTGATTTAATACATATTTTAAAAGGTACTATTCAAATCAATACTGTGAATGTATACTTTCAGTTGAGTCTCAAAAGGCATATCTATCCCTCTAAGGAGTAACTTTACCACAGGATTATTAGGAATTACCAGAAGTCTCTCAAATGTCAGAGTTTGCCCAGTCTTATCAAGTTATAACTCCAGATAAAATGGATGTACATGACTACTCCAGTCCTCACAATGTTATTGTCATAATAGGAATCATGCTACTGTTGCGTTTGGCTGCAATTAACAGCACTGTCAGCACTGAGACTTGATCATAGATTTCTAGCCTTACACTTTTCGAGAGGCAGATCAATTACCATTTACTTTATCACGTTAGGCACCAGAATCTCTGAAGGATCAACCTTTGCAAGTGTGAGAACCCATGAGTAAGTGTGATGGGGCACAAAGTACAAGTAGTCCTCAAGTTATGACAGCAATTGGGACTGGAATTTTTGCCACTGTCATAGAGTTTGAAATCATGTGACCACCTTATTTAGTTAACGGCGATCCTGTCCTTCCCTATAGCTATTGTTAACTGAATCCCATTGGTTGTTAGCCAATGTCCCACCTTTCTAGTCAAACCGTTACAGCCCAAAGACCCAGTAGCCCAGCCCATGGGGTGGCGTAATTCAGACCAGCCCACAAGGTGACGTCAAGTCCCGCTCGCAGCTACCCTCATCACTCTGGACTCTGAGGCCTTGGCTGCCCTGCACTCTGCTGTCCCAAGAGACCAGCGCTGTCTTTTTCCACTCACTGTTGATGAGGTGTGCTGGCCCCTCTCAAATATGACCTCAGGAAGAAGGCCCCACATGGCCAGCAATTGCTTTTTGAAGGGTCAGGTCAGGTATGTTTGGTGAGTAATGGGAGCAAGAAGATGGTGAGGGCCAACTGGGGAGGGAGCAGAGAAAGAAAATGCAGAAGTGGGGAGGGAGATAGGCAGGTGGGAGGGATTGAAATGCGCCTGTGGATATAAGTTCACCTGAGTTTTGATCACATATCCACAAGGGAGCTGCAACAAGCATGACTTCTAATTAATTTGACAGCCATCTGGTGTAGTGGTTAAGGCACCAGACTGTGAGTTCTAGTCCTGCGTAGAGATGAAATCCAACTGGTTGACTTAGGGCCACTCGCTTTCTCTCAGCCCAACCCACCGCATAGGGTTTTTGTTGTAGTGAAAATAGGATGAAACTGAGATATAAATACACAAACTTCAGGGACTAGGCATAAGTACCATTCATTCAGCACTGCTGTAATTTTGAGTGAGCACTGACTGAATGGTCATAACTCAAGAACTACAGTACCTATTATCTTACGATTTTTATGAATGCTTCACATTGAGAAGCTTGGAAATCTCCGTAGAAACTTGCATTATAGTGACCACTGCTGGGTGGGTGCAAAGAACTACAATGGATAAAGGTGAAGCTCTACATTATCTCTATCCTTAGATATTTCTTCTTCAAACCAGTAAGTAGTATCACAGATTTCAGATGCAGCAACATTTAAATTGTCAAAAAATATATTGATGTCCTGCTGATCAAATACTCAGTTTGCTTATCTTACTGGTATAAATTATTTGTCTAAAAGACAGGTTTATTTAGTGATTTTTTTTTTTGCAGGTATCTGAATCAGGACATTTGCTTGCTCCTTTCCTATCAAGCTAGAGTTGGCAGGCATGTTTGCTGGCTGGCACAGTGTAATTCCCATATTTTTGAATTTCATTATAATTGTTCCCATAAGTCAATGAATTCAGGACAATGCCAAATATGACTCTAATAAACTTTCAAGAGTAAACACATAATCAAGGAGAGATAAATACTACACTTTTCTCAAAAGGGATATCAAATTAAAACAACAATGTTTTGTCAGCCACAGGCTTATGTATTTAAATTATTTAACGTGCATTCATGTACTTTCCTATGCGTATGCTTTAGAGTGCATCTGAGACCACTTAAAGATTCAACAAAGCCATATTTAAGAACTCCCATGTCCTCATTCAGGAGACAATGTCTTTAGAATGGAATGTTCACTATTGGGATAACAAATCACAAAAGCTTTCTATTGAACATTCATCAGCATTATGATATATTTGAATGTCTAATGCTTAGATATAGGAAGTGCCTTGGGTTTGAAATTTTAAAACCAGCAGAGTTTTCTTCCACTTTCATGTTCACCAACTATACAGACTCGAGGACCTTCCACACGAAGTATACTTAATTCATAAAATAAAATCCGTTGCATGAAGGTACTTACCAAGTAGTAAAATATTCAGCATTTTACTAGTACAAATTTAGAACAGAATAAAACCAGAAACAACACAAATGCCATGGCATGGGGGAGCGTTTATGGCATGTTGCTAGGGTCATAGAGTGTGGTCAAGAAAGTAAAGAAAGCAGCCATGGCAGTGCAACTGAAGCTCTGGACAACATTTTATGCATCACACACTCCTGTCAAGAGAGCCACTTTGTTTTAGTTGTTATGGAATCAGGCTAGAAACAAAAGAACTTAAGTTCTAGTTCTGCCAGAGGCATGGGTAATTAGCTGGGTAATTTTGCTCCAAACTCTCTCTCTGTCTCTATCTCTGCTTCTGCCTCTGTCTATCTGTCTCTGCCTCTCTCTCTCTCTCTCCCCCTTCCTCCCTCCCTCCCCCCCTCTCTCTCTGTCTGTCTCTGTCTCTCTCTCTCAGGCAATGGCAAATCACTTCTGTATTCTTGTCAAGAAAACTGCAGGGACTTGTCTGTATGCATGCATGCACACACATACACACCCCGAGAATGACAAAATATATTTACAGCATGTCTTAGACTAAGCACTTGGTAGTGCAGCCATAAAGGCCTTCGAAAAGCTGTTCAGATACCATGACAAGTCTGTATCTATAAAGAAACAGAATTTCCCTAGCACCAGGTGAACAAAAAGTTTGACTTTGAAGTAAGATAGAAATAATATTGATGCTTTGGTATGTGGTATTGGAGAAGAGTGCTGAGAATACCCTGAATAGCCAAGACAACCCAAAATGGATCATAAAACAAATCAACCCAATATTCTTTCTTGAAACACAAATTACTAGGATTGTATTTTGGACACGTTATGCAAAGAGTTCTGAGCCCCTTGAGAAGTCTATAATGCAAGGAAAGGTGGAAGGTAACAAGGAAGACTATCAACTAAGTGGATGACCTCAATTAGAGTAGTGATGGATGCACTGCTAGGAGACTTGACAGGTGGGACTGTGAATAGATCAAAAAATCTACTGATGTAAGCGCTAACACCAATTCAATAGCACAAATTAATTAAAAATGGAGCATACATAACATAGTAAATTATAAAGTGGGATTAAAATGAAAAACTAGAGTTACTGAAACTGGATATGTTTTTGTTGATGTCATGTAAAGGAAACAAGGAACCTTTTGAATGAAATTTTCATCTAGTTTTATCAGTCTTTCAATGGAGTGACACTTTCACAACATTTCACAAACGTTTGTAAGCCAAAAGATCAGATGAAAGATAGCAGCATCAGTACAATTAGGAGTAATAAATGTGAACTTTCTCATGTGTTGAAAACTAACCCTTCAAAGATTTCTACCCTGCATCTAATAAGCCACTTAAATATATCAAAATCATACTGTACTACACAATTCAGGCCATTGGGTATGGTGAAGAAGAAAAGAGGACAGGTAGCTTTCAATAATGTTTAAATAATGTAATCAAAAATGAAATTCAAAAAGAAAAATGAAACTATTCCTTTCTCTCTAATAAGGTGTTTGTAGGGATAGGCTGCATAGATTGATCTACTTTAGTTTTGCTTTTTTTTCCCAGTGGTTTGTTTTAACATACTATACTGTGAAATTGTCACAGACTGGGTTGAACACACTTTTATATGTATCTTGCAATTGGATTGTTGAATGAAAATTATATGAAGAACAACAAGACATAAACCAAGAGTCAATGTTATCCTTTTTAACCCTGCAATACTGAGCTTAAACTAAATGCATATATTCCAAAGGATCACAGATCATAAATGTTTGTAATACGATGTCACCTTAAGTTCACTGATGAGATTCCAATACAGAAAGAATCCTGGGTTTGTGAAATAGATAAGTGGCCATTTCTTCTATTTTACCTTATACATATTTTACATTACACAGGAAGTAACTTTACCACTTGCTTGATCCTCTGTATGATTGCATCAGAATTTTATGGATCAAATTCTGGGCCCGGGGGTGGGGAGGAGGAGGGAAGCATTACAATGGAAGTGGTTGATGAATTAAGAGGTAATATCCACATCCTTCCCAATGCATCCAACTCCCAACCTCCCCATCTTTTAAGTACCATTTTGTTGGGATTTAGTTAGTTTGGCATGCCTAGGGAGATATTTGAAAGAATTCTGATTGAAAATGTACAAAAAAGGGGGAAATCAGCTATATTCGGAAAGTGCCATGAGTGTTTATTCTACAAACCAAAAGGTCATGGAGAAATATTTTACATAGGATCCAATCTGAGTCAGTCACCAGGACCAGAGGCTTATTCTTCCCAAACTTTTGCACTTAAGCTGGAGCCCAACCTCAGGGAACTTCTCAATCTCCAGGATGTCTGCACTGGGCTGTTTTATGTGTAGTATTTAAG